TAAAATTCTATGTTAATATGGCGGCGTGCGATCTTGCGTTATGCCTACGTTATGTAACGCTGTTGTATCTCTAGTAATACAGAGTCGAAAAGCATGCAAAATTAAGCCAATTTTTCGTACAATGTAAAACAAGAAATGGATGACGTACGAAACATATACGAGTAGTACTTCTCTGATAGCGATAACTAATGAGTCATCAGAGTTAGACATGTAAAATTTTACACGTAGATAATAAATTCTGCTACAAAATGTGTATGAAGCGTAGAATGGCAGACATGGCGAAGGAAATAAACTATGGGATTAAATGTGCTTGCAATCTGTAACAGTGAAGTTGTCACCATGCTTAAGGTACTAATTCATGAAGAAATATGGGGAAATAGACGTAAACTTCAAGCTTTCTTAACCTCAACACTAGATGGGCATGAGTCAGTCCGAATTTATATTACAAAAGACAAGAAAGAAACTCCGTGGCTTGAGTCCGCAAACGAACTATACCGACCGAGCGACCGCAGCTTGTCGGCGAAGTTAGTGCCAACTTTAGGGGATGGATGGTGTCGCGTGGTCAGCGCAACGGATCCCCACGGCCGTTAATCTCGGTTTTCTAGACAGGAGCCGCTGTTTCCTTGAAATAGCTCCTCAATTGTCCCCACGAGGCTGAGTGGACCCCCTTTCCAGATCCACTACCTCTCAGAAAATCTGGTAGCGCCTGGAATCGAAACCGGATCTCTGAATCTGTAGCCAGTCCCTCCACGCAAGTTACAGTACCTAAAATTATGCCACAACCGCTTCGTTGCACCCACCTCCTAATTCATCATCTATTAACCATCCTAATATTTGACGCTATATAGTTTGCACTACTGAGAACGTTGTTAAACAAACCACAAAGTATGATTGTTAACGTGTTAAATTGACAGTTTCATAGAACAGATCTATTGTTTCTTTCGAAAACATAGGCCTGATATTAGCTATAATTCATGGACTGTCACTGCTGATAACATAACCTCTCAACAAGGAACCACTTACCTTCTTTCGATCGTGAAAACAGTCGAACAGCGACTGGCAGCTCGACACACCGCGTATGTTCTGAATGAGACGGGGATCCAATTTGCTCAGGGATGACTATGCAACTTTGTAATTAGTTGTTACCTATAGCATCTCGAAACGAAATCCGTGCCAGCATTTTGAAATCTACCTTAACAAATTCCTCGTCCATTCACAATTATCACTATTCTAAAACCATGATGTCGCTGATTATAGTAGTTACGAAATCTAACGCACTAAAAGTCTTCATTTGATTAAGCACTTTGAACGTGAGTTCGAATCCTATCCCACGCAAGGCTGTATGATCGCTGTACTTTTGTGTTGTATCATATGTAGGTAGAAGTCTTGCAATGGGGCGATTCCCATATAGATTTCGCCAAGATTTACTGGTTTAGAATTTTCTTTGGAACAGGATCGGACCAAAGAACCGAAACAGAAGATATTACACTTTCAAAACCCCACGAAATACGAATTACTAGTGCTGAAACGACAACTAAGTATCAGTGTAGTGTAAACATCAGCATTTTATGTCAAAGACAATAGACAGTTCACTTGCAAATACTAGTGTGTATGTGCCTATGTGCCGATAACAGTGGCCGCGGGCTAAGCTGGAATTCTAGGATCATGGTTTCAAATTCCACCGAATGCATGGGTATCTGTATATGCGTTTATTCTGTGTCTGTATTGTCCTGTATGCAGGTAGCGGCCTTGCGACGGGCTGATCACTCGTCCGAGGAATTCTACCGACTGTGTAGAAACGATTATGAAACTGAAGAAGAGGCCAGGGCCTAACAAAGGGCTGTAGAGGCATTGATGAAAGAATGAACGAATTAATGTGCCTATATTCACTGTGGCCGGTCACGGTAGCCGAGCGGTCTAAGGCATGAACTGTCTTCGCTCGCTTGGAAACCGGGATCGTGGGTTCGGATCTGTTTCCTGTGAGGTACGGACTGAATTCTTATGTATTATTCTTATA